AGGAGGCATCACCCAGGGTAGGAACCAAGCAGGTCTGGAGTGTTTCTTCCAAGGCTGATTCTCATTTTTGGGGGTTGTTTTGTTGTTTTGTGTTTGAGATGGAGTCTTGCTTTGTTGCCCAGGCTGGAGTGTGGTGGCACAACCTTGGCTCACTGCAACCTCCGCCTCCTGGGTTCAAATGATTCTCCTGCCTCAGTCTCCTGAGTAGCTAGGATTACAGGTGCACCCGCCATGCGCAGCTAATTTTTGCAGTTTTTTAGTAAACATGGGGTTTCCCCATGTTGCCCAAGTTAGTCTCAAATTCCTGACCTTGTGATCCGCCCACCTCGGCCTCCCAAAGTACTGGGATTACAGGTGGGAAACGCCACGCCTGGCTGATTCTTAAAAGGGCAGCCGAGCTCTGCTCTCTCTAGAGCCAAAAACCTTTGTCCTAGATACAGGGACATGCATACTCTAAAACCCAGGTTTTTGCTGTTATGTCACATAGAAGTTGATCCAAAAGTCCTCCAAAAGTTTGAAGTTTTAACCTCAGAACTCCAATAGGAATATGGCAGTAGTCAGGAAAGAAATCTTAGTCACCAAAATTCCACCATTTCTTATTTTTTAAAAAGTCACAAATAGGCTTATTGTTGTAAAGGGGAATGCTCAAAGGCCCTACTCCTGTGGAGTGGCTTGCTCTGGGACAGGCAAGCCTGGGGTCCTGTGGTGCTGGGAAAGTTGGGACTGCAGGATGCCTGCATCAGATGCCTCTTCCTGGGGCGGGGACTTGTTGAGTCCACCAGACAAGGAGATTCTTGTGGTCATTGCAGAGAAGAGCATTGGGTCATGGAGAGGACCACCTGAGAATGGAGGCCCTCATTTGGTAAGGCCCAGGAAATGGCCTTTCTAACCTGGCCATGAGGAGGTTCAAGTAGAGAAATGCAATAACCAGGCAGAACCCATGACGACAACCTCCATCAGTGGGGGTGGCTCGTCTCCACTGCACTAGATCACAGGTCGTATGCTGTGTCCCTTGTAACACTGATGTGATCCTCATGTGATCCTCACAACAGCCTTACGGGAAATGTTCTTCTTAGCCCATCTGTGACTTAGGGAGGATGGCAGAGCCTAAGCTGAAAGGTCATCACCGAGAGTGAATGAATCCACCGAAAGGTCTTACTTTCCAGTGTCTCTCACATGATTCATTCTCTCCACCAGGCTGTCGGGGGGCTGTGAATGTTTTCCATCAGGTTCACGCCTTCTCGCCCCTAGAGGGTGCTGGGCCATTGGCTCCCCTGCCCCAGGGTGTGCTCCAGCCTGGCAGACACTCTCCACACACATATACACCAGCACACACCACACACTCACAGCCACACACCACACATTCACACACATACCTACTACACAGAGCACCATGGCAGCCTGTGAGTCAGAAAGGAGAAATCGAGATCAGACGAGAAAAACAGAGACGAAAGTAAGGATGTAATAATCTTAAACTTCACAATTTCACCAGCCGTCAATCTTCCCTTGGGCCCCAACCCCCATGATCCAGGGGTAACAGCTGAAGATACAGACAGGATAGGCCCAGTTCTGGGAGTTTTGATCCCCTCAAACTCCAAAATTTCACCTCCTGCCCAGCAGCCCTCAGACCCCTAAGTCAGTCTTAACAACCTAATGGGATGTTTTCAGGGTTTCACTTGGGCCACGCGTGACGCGAAAAGCTCTCCTACCCACTTGCATTCCACACAACTTCTGCCCTGCCTGGCGGGCCCCAGACTCAGCACAGCCAAACCCAGATCACAGACATGTACACACACTCACACTCCACAGAGCACACACAGCCCACAACACTCATACACACTCATAACCACACACCACACACACTCACACTCCACAGAGCACACACAGCCCACAACACTCATACACACTCATAACCACACACCACAAACACACACACTCCACAGAGCACACACACAGCCCACAACACACTCTCACACTCACACATTCATAACCACACACCGCACACCACACACACACTCCACAGAGTGCACACACAGCCCACAACACACTCATACTCACACACTCGTATCCACACACCACACACTCACACACTCCACAGAGAACAGACACAGCCCACAACACTCTCATTCTCACATATTCATAACCACACAACACACACTCACACTCCACAGAGCACACACACAACACACTCTCACACTCATGCCACACACTCCACAGAGCACACACACAGCACACAACACACTCATACACACACACTCATAACCACACACCACACACTCACACACTCCACAGAGCACAGACACAGCCCACAACACTCTCATACTCACATATTCATAACCACACAACACACACTCACATTCCACAGAGCACACACACAACACTGTCACACTCACACACTCATAACCACATGCCACACACTCACACAGTCCACAGAGCACAGACACAGCCCACAACACTCTCATACTCACATACTCATAACCACACAACACACACACTCCACAGAGCACACACACACTCCACAGAGCACACACACAGCACACAACACACTCTCAGATACACACTCAACCACACACTACACACTCACTCCAGAGCACAGACACAGCCCACAACACTCTCATACTCACACACTCATAACCACACACCACACACTCACACACTCCACAGAGCACACACACAGCACACAACACTCTCATACATACTCATAACCACACACCACACACTCACACTCCACAGAGCACACACACAGCCCAGAACACACTCTCACATACACACTCAACCACACACTACACACTCGCTCCAGAGCACAGACACAGCCCACAACACTCTCATACTCACACACTCATAACCATACACCACACACGCTCTCATAACCACACACCACACATTCACACACACATAACCACACTACACATTCCACAGAGAACACACACAGCCACACACCACACACTGACACACTCCACAGAGCACACACAGTCACAAACTGCACACACACAAGCACACACCACACACGCACTCCACAGAGCACACACACACTCATAGCCACACACCACACATTCACACACATACGTACTACACAGAGCACACATGCAGCCGCACACCACATTCACGCTCACACTCATAGCCATACACTACACATTCACACACACTCATAACCACACACCACACACACAACTGCACATAGCACACACTCACTCATAGCCACACTCCATATATTCACAATCACATACTCATAGCCACCCACCACACATTGATACTCACATCCGACACACAGCACACACTCATAGCCACACTAGAGCCAAAAATCTTTGTCCTGGATACAGGAACATGAATATTCTAAAGTTCAAGTTTTTACTGATACATCACATTCACACATTCACACACTACACACAGCACACACACTGATAGCCACACACCATACATTCACACTCACACACTATACCCAGCACACACACTGATAGCCGCACACCACACATTCACATTCACTACACACAGCACACAAACAGCCACACACCACACATGTGAACACACACTTCACACATCATACACTCACACCCACACATCATACAATCACACAGACACACTACACATAACACACACACTCATAGTCACACAACACACTTTCCCACAGTACACAGCACACACACTCATAGCCACACAACACTCATTCACACACTACACACATGACACACTCTTAGCCACACACATGTTCACACACTGACTACACACACTGACACTATAGCCACACACCACACACACATCATGTACCACAAAATGCACATTACACCCTCACACATCACACTTCAGTCACACACCGCACATATTTCACGTGCTCAAACATCAGAGCCATACAGCCCACATCACCCACTCACACATTCACACATATATTCACACTCACACACTCTTGCCCACACACACATCACGTTCATTGACTCATACTCTTCTCTGTCTCTCCAAGACAGTCCCAGGCCTCAAGCCCAGCGCATGGTGGAGTCCAGCTGCGTGACAGCTCTGGGGCATTGGGAAGAGCCTGCCACATAGGGAAGGGTGGGGTTGATCCTAGCTGGGAGCTCTGGCACTAAGCAGAGGCCTGAGGCTGCCCTCTGCCATTTTGGCCCATTTCAGGGCTAGAGGACATCGCAGCCACAGCTGCTCTGGGCCAAGGGAGACTCAGGGATGGGGCAGAGCAGGCTGCCTGCCCACGCACACACTTCCTCTGCACCTGCTCTGAGCCTCACATTCAACCTCCACTGCCGATGTTGTTGTTTTGGAGAGCATGTGACAAATCCGGTGTGTGGGGGCGAGCAAGGAGCAGCTTACACGACCGCTGAGGAGCCCAGCTCTGTCAGTCACGCCCTCCCAGAAACAGTATGAGAATAGCCCGGATCCTCCAGGGGCACAAGAGGCCCTTGCACCTGGGGTTGGGGCCCTGGGAACTGACCTCCGGGGATGAAACTTCTAGGAACAGAGCCCTGGGGATGTTCTCATAAGTAATATCCCTGCGCAGCTCACAGCAAAGGCTTCTCAAAGTACCTCCATGCCTGCGAGGTCTGCTGGGCCTCACAAAAGCCATGTGAGGTGGGCAGGGCAGGGGCCATTCCTATTTTACCAAGGAGAAAACCGAGACCTAGGGAAATTTATGCTAAGCTAGGAAGTACCAAGCCAGGACAAGACCTGAGGTCTTCTGAGTTGGATCCAAAACGCTCCCCAAGATGCCCTGTGGCCTCAACATCTTGCTCCATCAGTCAGTGGACTTACCCTTGGGCTCTCAGGGTCCTGAAGGGAGGCTTTACCAGGCCGCTGTGACTTCAGGCAGGGTAGCTGCATGACCTGTCACACCCCAGTCCTGGCACTGCCTTGGTCACAGGATGGAGGCCTGAGCCCTTGCCGCAGGGCAGCACCTTGTGGGGACAGTTGCGGGAGATGAAGGGTGAGGGATGGCTGAGGCGCTGGGGAGCTACGGTGAAGGAACTACGTCCTGCAGGAGGAAATGCCAGGGATCATCTAGTCCCAGCTTCATTTATTTCCTAGATGAAAAACTTCAGGCTCAGAGAAAAGTAATGCATTCCTCAAAGTCCGTAGTTAGTTTACCCCCATAGTAGGTGCTCAAAAACGTCTGTAAAGGTGAGTCAACTGGTGACTGGTGAGGACTACAGCCAGCATCTTCTGACTTCAGGCCCACACTTCTGACCATATAGCCTTTCTCAGGTGGGAAAATCAGTGAGGAGGCTCTTTTATCCTGAAGGCAGAATGAAAGTAAATGACCCCAGCTCAGAAGCCAATGAGTACACATAGAGCACGGGAGGCCCTGCTGAGAAAAAGCGCAGAGGCAAAGGAGAATCAGGCCTGGTCACTGCTAATAGTCTGGAGGAACTTCCTAGATGCCTCCTAAACCGGGTGACCCTTTCTTATTCAACACAACATGTTTTCTTAGCTCCTTACTTCCGCTGTGGTTTGTCAGTGCTCTCTTTTTAGCCTAAGACTAGTTAGCAAACAAGGTTGTCATTTCCTCATCATCAAGGCTTGTTCCTCGTTGAGGACTAGAAATCTCTTTCACACTTCAGATCGTGAAGGGTTCCCGAGAAAGCAGCGTGTCTCTGTCCCCTCTCTAGGAGCTCTTGGATGGATCTCGTGCTCTAGAAGGAACAATGGACCCCTGGCTTTGGTTACTTTACTTCCTGCCAGGTGAGTACTGTGGGGAAACACTTCAGACCTCTGAATGAGGTTTGAGTTGGCCACAAGTAGAAGAGTTGGCTGGCAGCCCCAGCTCTGATGTTTCTGGATGGATTCACTTGCAAACCAACACATAGGGCAGGACAAGAATGGAGGCCACGTTAGGTGTTGGGCACCCTCCTCACTCCCTGCTAATGCCCCTTTCTCCACTCCAGACACTCCTGTTTTGGTCAGGTGTTAATTCTGTCATCCAGGCCGGAGTGCAGTGGTGAGATCAGGGCTCGCTGCAGTCTCGAACTCCTGGGCTCAAGTGATCCTTCCACCCCAGACTCTCTAGTAACTAGGACGACAGTTGCACGCGACCATGCTCAGATAATTTTTAATTATTTTGTACAGATGGGGTCTTGCTGTGTTGCCCAGGATGGTCTTGAACTTGTGGCCTTAAGTGATCCTCCTGGCTCAGTTTCCCAAAGTTCTGGAATTACAGGTGTACCCCACTGTGCCCAGCCAGGTGTTAACTCTTAAGAGCTGAAGGCATCATATCTCCTAAACATCTTAGCCTATTAATATGGGATCTTGAAGCAAGTGCCTCCATAGTTCTTTCTTCTTACCTCTACACTCTTTCTGTAGATCTTTCTCAGTCCTCAATTTCCAGCTTTCAATCCTAAATGAAAACTCTGTAATACATTCAGTAGCTCTAATCTATTTCCTGAATTCCATATCTCAATTTAGAACTGTCTCCTGGGCAACCCCTTCTTCAATATCCCACTGAGATTTGAAATGTAGCCTGCCTAACCTTATCTCAAACTCCTTATTGATTACCATCCAAACCATCTATTCCACCTGTCTGAAGTATCTCTGATCATCAGCCACGACATGCCAGAATGGCTATTTACCACCTCTTCCCATTTATCCACATTCAGACCTTGATCCGATCAATGGCCAAAGCATGCAGTTTCTAGATCCATATCTACTGGGGTAAGCAGCAGCAGCAATTGATACTAGGAAGGCAATAGAGGAAATGGACAGGAAAAGAACACACAATCCCCTCTTAACTATCTTTACCACTTCCTCTAACTCAGGCTGCATGTAGCTCCAGATTAATTTTCCTAAACTTGACTTTTTAAAATTTTTTGGAAGTGTAAAAATATGAGATTTGGCATTTTATTTTAACTATACAATCGGCAAGAAGAAAAATCTAAACTAAGAATTTAAGATAGTTTCCTATCTAAAGAGAATTTACAGAGTTTAAACATAGATAAGGTCAATTTTAGTAAAATCAATGGAGTCATAGTCATGGGTTAATTATCAAAAGGTTGGTGAGCAAATTCAATTTCCTATGACAAATAAAATGTATAACTTTAGTGAGCCAACACAATTTTCTACAACAAACATTTGAATAAGACTTAAGGCTAACATAGTCTTAATATTATATTAAGACTATTGGGAGATTAAAAATAAAACTGTATTTAATCTTTCTTATCTGAAATGAAATAGTAAATACCAGACTTACATTTTGAATTATGTTTTTTTAATATTTTTATTCATATATATATATATATTTTATCGCAATTCAGGTTCTGGGGTACATGTGAAGAACATGCAGGATTGTTGCCTAGGTACATGCATGGCAATATGTTTGCTGCCTTCATCCCCATCACCTATATCTGGCATTTCTCCCCATGTTTTCCCTCCCCAACTCCCTACCCCCCGCTGTCCCTCCCCTAGACCCCGACAACAAACCTCAGTGTGTAATGCTCCCCCCGTGTCCATGTGTTCTCATTGTTCAACACCCGCCTATGAGTGAAAACATGCGGTGTTTGATTTTCTGTTCTTGTGTAAGTTTGCTGAGAATGATGGTTTCCAGGTTTATCCATGTCCCTACAAAGGACACAAACTCATTGTTTTTTATGGCTGCATAGTATTCCATGGTGTATATGTGCCATATTTCCCCTGTCCAGTCTATCATCAATGGGCATTTGGGTTGGTTCCAGGTCTTTGCTATTGTAAACAGTGCTGAAATGAACATTCATGTGCATGTGTCCTTATGATAGAACGATTTATAATCCTTTGGATATATACCCAGTAATGGGATTGCTGGGTCCAATGGAATTTCTATTTCTAGGTCCTTGAGGAATCGTCACACTGTCTTCCATAATGGTTGAACTAATTTACACTCCCACCAACAGTGTAAAACTGTTCCTATTTCTCCACACCCTCTCCAGCATCTGTTGTCTCCAGATTTTTTAATGATCGCCTTCTAACTGGCGTGAGATGGTGTCTCAATGTAGTTTTGATTTGCATTTCTCTTATGACCAGTGATGAGTATTTTTTCATGTTTGTTGGCCTCATATATGTCTTCTTTTGAAAAATGTCTGTTCATATCCTTTGCCCACTTTTGAATGGGTTTGTTTGGTTTTTTTCCTGTAAATCTGTTTTAGTTCTTTGTAGATTCTGGATATCAGCCCTTTGTCAGATGGGTAGATTGCAAATTTTTTTTCCCATTCTGTTGGTTGCTGGTTCACTCTAATGATTGTTTCTTTTGCTGTACTGAAGCTCTGGAGTTTAATTAGATCCCATTTGTCTATTTTGGCTTTTGTTGTCAATGCTTTTGGTGTTTTAGTTATGAAGTTCTTGCTTATGCCTTTGTCCTGAATGGTTTTGTCTAAGATTTCTTCTAGGGTTTTTATGGTGGTATGTCTTATGTTTAAGTCTTCAATCCATCTGGAGTTAATTTTAGTGTCAGGAAGGGGTCCAGTTTATGCTTTCTGCACATGGCTAGCCAGTTTTCCCAACACCGTTTATTAAACAGGGAATCCTTTCCCATTGCTTGTTTTTGTCATGTTTGTCAAAGATCAGATTGCTATAGATGTGTGGTGTTGTCTCTGAGGCCTGTGTTCTATTCCGTTGGTCTATATCTCTGTTTTTGTACCAGCACCATGCTGTTTTGATTACTGTAGCCTTGTAGTATAGTTTGAAGTCAGGTAGCGTGCTGCCTCCAGCTGTGTTCTTTTTGCTTAGAATTGACTTGGCTATGCGGGCTCTCTTTTGGTTCCATATGAAGTTTAAGGTGTTTTTTTCCAGTTCTCTGAAAAAGGTCATTGGTAGCTTGATGGGGATAGTGTTGAATCTATAAATTACTTTGGGCATTATGGCCATTTTCACAATACTGATTCTTCCTAACCATGAGCATGGAATGTTTCTCCAACTGTTTGTGTCCTCTCTTATTTCCTTGAGCAGTGTTTTGTAGTTCTCCTTGAAGAGGTTATTTACATCCTTTGTTAGTTGTATTCCTAGGTATTCTATTCTCTTTGTAGCAATTGTGAATGGCAGTTCGTTCTTGACTTGGCTCTCTTTAAGCCTGCTATTGGTGTATAGGAATACTTGTGATTTTTGCACATTGATTTTGTATCCTGAGACTTTGCTGAAGTTGCTTATCAGATTCAGGAGATTTTGGGCTGAGACGATGGGGTCTTCTAAATATACAATTATGTCATCTGCAAATAGAGATAATTTGACTTCCTCCTTTCCTAATTGAATATCCTTTATTTCTTTTTCTTGCCTGATTGCTCTTGTTAGAACTTCCAATACTATATTGAATAGGAGTGGTGAGAGAGGGCATCCTTGTCTAGTGCCAGATTTCAAAGGGAATGCTTCCAGTTTTTGCCCATTCGGTATGATATTGGCTGTGGGTTTGTAGTAAATAGCTTTTATTTTTTTGAGATACATTCCATTGATACCTAGTTTCTTGAGTGTTTTTAGCATAATGGCTGTTGAATTTTGTCAAAGGCCTTCTCTGCATCTATTGAGATAATCATCTGGTTTTTGTCTTTGATTCGTTTATGTGGTGGATAAACACATAGTTCATCCTCAGGATGAAGCCTACTTGATCATGATGGGAAGCTTTTTGATGTGCTGTTGCAATCGGTTTGCCAACATTTTATTGAAGATTTTTGCATCTATGTTCATCACGGATATTGGCCTGAAGCTTTCTTTTCTTGTTGAGTCTCTGCTAGGTTTTGGTATCGAATGATGTTGGTCTCATAAAATGATTTGGGAAGGATTCCCTCTTTTTGGATTGTTTGGAATAGTTTCAGAAGGAATGGTACCAGCTCCTCTTTGTACGTCTGGTAGAATTTGGCTGTGAACACGTCTGGACCTGGGCTTTTTTTGGTTGGTAGGCTATTCATTGCTGCCTTAACTTCAGCCCTTGTTATTGGTCTATTCAGGGTTTTGACTTCTTCCTGTTTTAGGCTTGGGAGCATGCAAGTGTCCAGGAATTTATCCATTCCTTCCAGGTTTACTGGTTTATGTGCATAGAGTTGTTTGTAGTAATCTCTGATGGTGGTTTGTATTTCTGTGGAATCTGTGGTGATATCCCCTTTATCATTTTTTATTGCCTCTATTTGATTATTCTCTCTTCTTTTTTATTAGTCTGGCTAGTGGTCTGTCTATTTTGTTGATCTTTTCAAAAAACCAACTCCTAGATTTATTGATTTTTTTGAAGGGTTTTTTGTGTCTCTATCTCCTTCAGTTCTGCTCTGATCTTAGTTATTTCTTGTCTTCTGCTAGCTTTTGAGGTGTTTTTTTTTTTTTTTTTTCGATCTTGCTCCTCTAGCTCTTTCAATATTGACAATAGGGTGTCAATTTTAGATCTTTCCTTGCTTCTCATGTGGGCATTTATTGCTATAAATTTTCCTCTAGACACTGCTTTAAATGTGTCCCT